TTCCCTACGTTAGTCTTTATATGTTGGCTTCTAGACCAGGATATGCAGGAATCATTCAGGCTTTAGAGGGGCCAAGTCGCCTTCTGATGTCTTCCTCCCACTTTGAATGTAGAGGGACTCTCCAACAACTCTGGTTTTAACTTAGATGTATCAGTTAAACCCCTGTTATGTACGTCTACAGTGAAATCAAATTTGGAGTTGCAGCATGGCTATGGTGTGCTTGTTTTGAGGTGGGTAACTTGGACAGCAATAGCGCTTGTACAGCTGGGGCAGGAGTGGCTTTGTGTTACTAGATGGATCTTGGACGCTACTGTTAGGTCTGGGATATCTTTCTTCAGGACACTGCTGTTACATCTGGGGTATCTGTCTGTCTTCACTGCTATTGTTTCCCAGGTTAGCTTGGTTGAAACTACTGTAGATAAATTTACCTGTGCTGCCATGCCAGTGCACCCTATGTTAGACACAGCCCTGGAAGATATGGGAATTATAGCATTCACTGCTTCCTAACGAATAATCATATGTCAGTGATAACCAGGACCCGACCCTTCCCATAGTCACAGGGTTTCAGCCCATAGAGGCAAATCATACCTATTACCACACTCAAACCCAGCAGTGGCCTACAGGCTCAGGTGCAGCATCTATTTTGCTGGGGAGTCTTTGCCTCAGGACATTCAACACAGAAACTAGCTTTTGTCAGCCAGGCAGTTTTCTTTCATCTATCCATGCAGTTTCTATCTGTGTTGCTGTGCATATTCTGCAGCACACAACTCTGGACATCAGAAATATAGGAGTGAAGTGATCGTAGAATACAAACCTCTCTCCTTCATGATGGTGCTTTGGGGTTTGCTGTCAGAACACCAAAAAAGGAAAGGGAAAAAAATGCTTTATTTTTTTAAAAAGCCTAGATCACCTGATTCCTGGTGACAGCAAAGCTCTCTCCTCTGAGAGCTTGCAAAGCACTGCTTTCTGCTTTGTCACTTGTTATTTCTGCTTTGTCACTGGCAGTTCCAAGCTCTGCTTTGGTTTACACAGGACCAGATCCTTAACTAGTCCAAATGATACTCTCGCCATCTGGCTTTTAAATTATTGTAAAACATTAGAATTTGAGTCTTTGCTTTCAGAGCAGGTCTCTGGATAGAACTGCCTAAAGATATCTCTTGCAGATAGTGTCTAGATTAATGTTTTATGACTGCTTTCTGTTGGGGTTCCTCCAGTGGAAGATGTATGCAGGGAATGCTTGTGTGCCTTGATGTTGCCTAAGCTGGCATTTCACATGCATTTGTTTCTGCTGTACAGTGAATTGATACTACTGGAGATATAAATGCAGATTAAGGTTCAAGTAAATTCCACCAGTCTGGATGGGTGAATGGTGATTAATATCTGCTGACTGGCTTCCCCACTTCACTGCGTAAATTATAGCTTCATTCATAAGGAATATAATGTCCTTTTCAATTAATTTCATCAACCAGATCCTCAGCTTTGATTTCTCATTCCTTAGTTTGCCTTTCCATATAATATTGTAAGGATTTTCCCATTCTTCCTGGACTTGCTCTGAGCCTTCCTGTTAGAGGAAACATGCCCCCCTCCCCATTTGCATCTCTACCTGGACCTGAGAATGGGTCCTGTTTGAGGACTGTTATAGATGGGAGTGGATGTTACAGAAATGAAGGGGAAAATAAGAATTCAGCCATGTCCTGTTTACTTTAAACCTCCCTGTAAACACTAAACACAGCCCTGGGCGGTTGCACAGCACAGCCAGCTGATATGCCCAGTGCCGTGTCCCAAGGTCTTGCCTGCTCCCAGCACACATTGCATTCACTCAGCAGCTACAGAGATGCACAGGGAACAGCAGAATGAGCAGGGCTTAGCTGAGCCCTTTACTCAGCTCTTTCCTGAAAGTCATACGCTGACAAAAGCATTGCCTGGTCTGCCAGTTCCTGGCAATTTTTAGTAATAGTGTTTCTGTGTGTTATTGCAGTTTCTACTTTTCTAATGAAAACTTCTCAAAGTGGGCATCTTCCTTTTGCACAAAAGGTGATGTTGCAGCCCTCCTTCCCTGCCCGATCAGCAATGCCAGGATGACTCGAATAGCAATGGTCTCTTCCTGCTTTCCTCTCCCACCCCAAGGATATTATGCTCCAGTTGCTTAACCTAATTTTTCAGCTTCTCAGCCTTGTTTAACCTACTGTGGTGAGAAGCAGCCAATGCACTGCAAGTATCTCTGTTTCTCACCATTCCTCCCATTCAAGCCAACTGTAGAGCACCCAGAGAGGAGATTCTGAATGGCTTTGGGCCAGTGGACCTAAGTTTAAGTAGGCAACTCAAGTACTTGTCTCAGTATCTCAAACAGTTCTTTGCGTGAGGAGATCAGCACAGAAACACCAGCCCCGTGGGAGGTGAGGCATTTGCCACCTTTGCAGATGGAGGATGTTAGTTAGCTGAGGGATGCGATCTGGAGCTCCTCGGCCTCACCTCATCACGGTTGGTCCTCTCTTGTCGCTTTATAACCCCACAGTCTCTCATGGAGCCCTGAGTGGCCCGAAGTAACACATCTGCTGATGCGTTATTGTAAAAGTACCCGTGGGAATACCAGTCCATGGGGAACGGGGGCTTCCCAGCTCTCTGGATGAAGCACTGACCCAGGCATCTATTTACTGTTCGTGTTTAGGCAAAGAGCGTCATCTAATAGCAGAGGGCACTGGAATGTGTGGGGCAGGCTTAAGCACAGTGAGGGTGGGCAGGTGGGAAGGGGGCTTACTTCTGGGTCGGGACAGAGCCAAACGAGGTTGGAGAAGGTTGTGTGGGAAGGCAGTGTCATAGTGTTGGAACAACGAGCTGCCTGCTGAGGAAACAAAGTCGTTGCTTAGAAAATGGAATATGAGGGAGGCTGGAGTGGGGTGACAGGGAAGTGAAAACAGCAAGTGTGGGGCAATTTGAGCAATCCAGGGCGGTGATACTTGAAGCACCGTGATAGTGTGGGGCTGTGTGATGAGCTGGGACTGTGCCAGCGTAAGTGGAGGAGGAGGAGTCAGGTGGGAGATAACGAAATGAGGAGGGGAAGGCAGACAGTGGGAGGGGTACCTCTGTGCTGGGCATCTTGTATCGCAGACGTTTCCTTGCTCATAATAAGTTTGAAACCTCTTTATCTGATTGCTGGTGGGTCTCCAGGCAAGATGTGTAAAAGCCCGTCAGGGACGCAATCCCTCTGTCCTCCGGGGCTGGGCTTCCAGACTCTACTCATCTCAGAAGCCATGCGAATGAAATTTCCCTCATAGCAAATGTCTGTGAATGTGAGATGCCATTCAATCTCCCTCCAGAGACTAATTAATTTTGTAATAATTTAAAATAATTTAACTTTGCATAATGGGCAGAAGTGGGCCTAGGGTCCAGCTTTTTTTGGAGTTGCAAGTGCAACAGCATGGACAACTTCCAGGTGTAGTACCTGGCTTGGAAAATGCCGCTGGAGGATTAGGCAAGTGAAATACCTGGAGTCCCTGGTTGGTATCTAAAGTCACATCTGATGCTTAGATTTCAAACTGTGGGAGGAGGTGGGGGAAGCTTTCCTTGAAGCCCTTTCTCTCAAAAAAACCTAAGCAAACGTACCAAACAAAAACTCTGGGTGGGACAAAGGGGTAGATATTTAGAACCCTGAGGATCAAGAAATCATAAGACATCTGTTCTATTTACTGTGTTTAAGTTTGTATTGTTATACAAACTCCACCTCTAGCTGTGCAGCTTCTGGAGGGACAAGTTGGTACTGAGTGATCCTGAAAAGATGAGAGAGATTCCTGGAGGAGAGATTTACATTGCATATCATCTTATCACCAGTCTGTCCCTCTTGCTTTTTTTTTTTCCCCTGCACAGCAAAAGAGATGATTAAAGAGCTGGGGATTTAATTACAGCCAGGTATGCCTAGGGGGAAAACCCACTCGGTGAAAGGACCTTGCAACAACAAACAGAAAGTGCTCCAGTTTCCTCACTTTGAAGGATTTAAATCTGTGGAGGGGGGGGTGGGTTGGAGCGGGGAAAGAAGGTGATTAGGCTGGAGTTTGCTAAACACACGGTCCTCTTCCCCCTGTTCGGCAAAGTGCTGCCTTCAGCAGTTTGGTCCTCACTGTCAGCTCTCCTTCCAGTCCCACCACCCTCCTGCTCCTCTGCAAGACCTGAGCTACTTCTCAAGCGCTTTCTGGCATCTCCATGTCAGTAAAACAGCTCTCTTTTCCCCCGTCCAAGGTTTTTTGCAGAAAAACCTCGTGATTTTTGTTGCCCACTGTGGCCTGCCCCAGCCGGTGCCCACCGCGTGTCCCACCCCAGCCAGCCTGTGCTCGCCCTGGGAACTGCCAGCTGGGCACAATTTCAAAGGCGAGAGATAAGGGTCCGGTGCGTGGGAGGCCGCCTCTGATGTGAATCATGCATCTGCACTAGGGATGGGGCCCTGCATCTGCTCTGCTAGGCTGTACCACCTCATCTGGCCTGCTGCGCCTGCCTCTCCGACCTTCTCACGCCTTTTCCTTTCCATGCTGTTGGGTGAAAGGGAATTTATTTCGTTGCTGGGCTTCTGTCAAGCTCTTGATTGGTGCTGATGGGAGAATCTGTAGAAAGAGTCCTGTGTCCACCGAGCGTGGAGGACCAGCTGAGCATCTGCATAACTCCTCTAACCTCCACTGATGGGGTTAGCTACTTGCAGGTGCCAGTCCTGCTAGCAACGGCTCCACGTGCCTAGGCTAGTGCTTCACCATTCAGAAGTCTTCCAAAAAACAGCACCTTAAACCTTCAAACAGCAACAATCTCTTCCATCCTGCAAGGGATTCCTGAAATTTGTTAATGAGGTTAACAATAAAATAGGTAATTGGCTCTTCTGAGCAAATTGGATCTGCTGCCTTCCGAGAAATCAAATGCAGTGATAGAGGTGGAGAGTATTTTTCTATGTGAATAGCTGAACTAGTGTAACAAATCCCCAGTTTGGCGAATCCAGCATAACGACAAGGAAAGATTTGGCTGTTCTTATGCATTTATTGGGAGACTTATTTGCCTTTAAAGAAGGAGGGGGGGAGGAAAAAAGAGATGAGTTAGTTTTTCCTATGACATACGTACACAGCCACGGGCAGTGCCTGTTATTTCACTTGCAAACAATTTCCTCTCTCTTTTGTTTATTGATGACAGAAGGCATTCCAGCCAGGTACACTGGCTCTTCCCCGACTTCAAGACTTCAAAGGAGGTCGGGTTACAAAGGCAAGCACCATCCAGGCAAAATGAAATGCAGGAGGGGAAAGCCCATCGCAACAGTCGATCTCAAGGGGAGGTTACATGCAAGGGAAAAGCCCAGGATGCGCCAGGAGGAATAAAAAGAAGGATAAATCCCGTTGCTGCATCATCAGTGCCACCAGGCCTTGTCCATGGGAGTGGCAATGGACAAGTCATCTGGGATGCCCCCGCTACCCCCTGGCAATGGCAGCACATGTCATGGGAGAGCACACATGAACCACTGTTTGCTTCCTCCTTCCCAAAGGTGCCTGTGCGGGCGGCTGCTGCTCGTGCAAACCCAGGGACTGTGTGCCCAGGGAAAACTGCAGGCTGGAAGTGATGGGTTTTTGGGTCTAAATTCAAAATGGAAGTGAGGTCGGAGCTCCTGGTGACTGGTAACATTATCCAGTGCCTAAATCAAGGTTCTGTGTCCAAAATCAAGATGATGTGTCTTGCCTGCCTGGGGCTTATGGCTGGATTGACAATGACCGTGCTAGGGAGGGAGTCCGGCAGCCCAGATAACCAGTGGGAAGGCTGCAGTTTGTGTAACCCAAGGATGGCTGCTCAGCCCTGAAGGGAAAGCAGGTGACTTGGGCTGACGTTTGCCCTTGGGAAAAGTCCCATCTCTGAGTTGGTTGGTTTAGCAGTGTTGTTTTACCTCGCTCCGAGTGACGGGGAAGCCTGTGCTGAACTCCAGCCTTGGCACTAGGACTGTCCCTCTGCCCCGCTCACTCTGGGGACAGCCTGGTCTGCATATCTCCGGGTCTTGCCTGCTCAGAGCCTGGCTTTGCTGCAGCGGTGCCTGTTGCCTGTGCTTAGGGACTTGTGTGTAGTGATGGAGACGTTTTTGGATATGCCACTCCCACGGCCATGACACCAGGCTGCTCTGGGATGTTGCTGATGATATACCCCAATGACTCAAGGAAGGGCAAGGACTGGGCTGCGCAGCGTATCCCGATTAAATATGCTGTTCAAGTCCTGGCAAATTGAGAAACGTTTCCTTTCCTTTTCCAAGTTGGGGTTTGGGTGATGCCACCGCTGAGTCAAGCCATGCCCTGCGACGGGGCACAGCCCCCATCCCGTGTGACTCAGCACAGCCTCGGCCAGGGCAAGCCGGCATGAGGGACTGGGAAGTTGCAAAAAATTAATGACAGTTCTTCGTTTTGGGAGCACTCAGCTTAATGAAGCATTACTCAGCGGCTTCTCCACCCAACCCCTGAGTAGGAGCCATCAGGGCTGGTATCAGCCTCCTCCCGTGTCCGTGGCAGGGCTTTCAGCCGGGATGACTCAGGTCACCCCATGCATTGTCCAAGCATCACACTGCACCAGTGTCCCCAAGGCCACCCAACAAGTGACATGACCCAGGAGAGACACACAGGACCTGTGCCACTGTCACATGTTGGTGAGGCACACGTGAGCCGAGCTCTCAAGCCCTGCCCAAGGGTGGGGACAGGGACAAAAAGGAGGCAGGAAAAGCATTTACTGGGAACCAAAATGTCTGCTTGGCGCAATGTGCCCTAGTGTCAAAAGTTGCTTGTGCTCTGAAGCGAAGTGAAGGGTCGAATTTTGATGTTTGCCATTAAGTTGTAGCTTGTTGGAAATATATAAGGTTTGTAGCTATTGTTCCCTATGTCAACTTTATTTTCACTCTATAACTATTTACTTTTTGCCTTTTTGAAATTTTAGTAATTGAATTGCTCTTTCTGGACTGCTTGTCATAGATAAACGTTTCTTTTCTTTTTAATAACTTACATTCTCACTTGTTTTGCGGTCATTTCCTTTCAGCTGAGTTTGGGTTTCACCCTTAGGGATTAACACAGCAAAATGTCATTCCGGGTCCAAGCAGAGCACCAAGGTTTTCTCCAGGATGGACTGCCATTGAAATGAAGCCATCCTGCCAAACAAAGCATTTTGAACTAGAGCTCTTCTTTCAAGTTGGAGGGGTTTTCGCTTGGATCAAACAAACCCTTTCAAGGCAGGGAAAACTCGGTTCCTATCTGTCCCTCCCCTGAAATGGAGTCAGTCAGGCTTCATTTTCACAGCAGTCTCCTCCAGCCTCTGTCCTCTTATGTCCACTGGGCCAGCATCGTCTGAAGTGTGAGAGATGCTGAACAGAGAAATAAAAGAGGGAATCTTTGCTGTGCAAAGTGCTGGAAAAGCCAAATACTTCTGGGACTTAAATTTTTTTGCTCTTCCTTCCCTCCCCCTCTCTGCCAGTTCTTATTTAAAGTCTGTAAAACCAGTTCCCCATCCCTCATGTCTGCGCGTGCTGCTGGAGCTCGGTATTAGCATCTCCATCGTACTTCTTTCCTGCCTAGAAACGATGAACCACCCAATTTGTATATTTATAGTTTAAAATAATGGCAAGAGAAGGTACGGGAAAGGAGGCATTTTCCTCCTCTGTGCACAAATGTACGGTTTTTCTTTGGAAGGACTTGCCAAAGGACTATCCTTTGGAAGGATAACGAAGACCTTAATATTAACTGTATTTTGCAAAAAATCAGAAGTTAGTTACTTAGAAAAATTCATTTGTCTCTGCAAACCTCTTTAGAAAGTTTCAGTCATCACTGATAAGTAGGCAGTGATGGTAAACTCAGGAGTGCACCCTGAATAAAGTCTTTCAGCTGACAGGATGGATCTATCCCTAGGCTACAGAATGCTTGAAATAATGGATCATGTCTTCCAGCCATTTACCATGACAGCAAGGTCCCTTTTTCTCAAAAAAAAAAGCAAGAGAATAACCCATTTGCTGCCTTTCATTTGCTTGAAGCACTGTAGCAGTTCTCTTTTGAGCTTGTTTAAGTTGTTATGTATTGGGCTAAATAGTGCTCGTGTGCTTCTTTCCCAGGTTGTCCAGGGTCTGGTCATTGGAAAACTCACTAACCACTGCTCAGAGAGGACCCTGCTCAGGCTCAGTGTCTTTGTCTTTGCCGGCGTGGGCCTAGGCATGGTAAGGCTCGGCGTGAAATCATCCATGGTGCCTTTTAATACTGCAGTGGTGCAGGGTCCGTGAGACCCGGCTGCAAGCTCTGCCCCTTGAAATGCCACTGCCAGCTTTGCTGGTTGGTCCCTGGGGGGGAAACCAGCTCTCCTGGGCCTCTGTGCAAGCAGAGTCACACTCAGCATAAGCACTGCGCCAAGTAACAATAAAGAGCCGCGTGAGTAATAGTTACGGGGATTAAAAAGAAAAATTAATCTTGCACAGAAACTCGTTAAGTCCCTCCTGAGTCACTGGCTTTGCATAGAAATCCTGCCCTCAGTCTTGTCAGCGATTGCATTTCCTGAACTACCCAGAAAGTAAATGAAGATTATGGGGGGGGAAATCATTGTGGGTGTACGCTGCTGCGAGACAGCAGAGGTTGTGTGCTCTTCTTCTGGGGCTTTATTTTTGCCTAATTCCCCCAAGCTGAGACTATCTGGGGAAGGAGGTAGCAAGGCCATAATTTTGTTCCTCTGTTTTGGGATAAGTGATGTTACCTGTAGCTGGTTGAGTCTGCATGGGCAACAGTTGATGCCAATCTCAAACAGTAATTGGAAAACCAAGCTAACGTAGGCAGCTCTGCTGGTGATTGTGCTTGCTCAGATAAGCCACGCTCAGGGAACCGATAGCTCTGCCCAGGCCATGGGGATGGAGGAAGGGTGCACGCTGGTCCCTGTCAGTGAGATGGGCCCAAAGGACGGTTGATCTGCATCAGCCTTTCGACATTCCCTGCAGGGTTTGGCCTCCAGCCTTGCTGCTGGGGCACCAGTGCTCCCGCTGGTGCAGGTAGGGTGGGTGACATTCCCACAACCATGCCACAGCCACAGGGGGGCCAGGGCCAAATCCTGGAGGGTATCGAGGCTCATCGTTCCCAGCTACATGGATGAAATGAGGCACCTATGCATCTTAGCTAACCTGAGGTTAAATTGCCTGTCTGAGATGAATCTGGGAAGGGAGGATGGATGCAGATGAAGAGTTGGCTCTGCAGATGGAGCATGGTCCCCCTCTCTGGGATTTTGGTGCTTGCAGAGGTGCTGCTGGGTGGTAGGATGCTCAGGAAGGGTCCCTCCTGGCAGGTGTCTCGTGATTTTGGCTGGCACTGATGTGCCCCCTCAGCATGGGGCATCTGCACAGGGCGTGGTGCTCCTGAGCATGGCCCGGGAAGGGCTTTGAAGGTCTCACCATTGGTTTTTGGTCATGGGTGGGAGCACTTGAGTGGGACCAAGGTGGACCTGGCCCATCTAGAGTCCTGAGCACCCCCAGCTGGGTACAGGGCAGGGTGCCACTGGGACCAGCTCCCCATGCTGAAGACTCGTCCCATGGGAATCAGAGATAGGAGCAACATGGAGTAAATAGCTTTTGTGTGCTGAGGTCTCGCTGAGAGGGAAGGCTGGAGGTGGCTGGAGGTAGGAGAGAGAGCTTCGATGGCAATGGAGGGGCGCATGGGGCAGCACAGCTTGCAGTGGCTAATGCCCCAGCACGGGGAGGCTCACATCGGCTGCACAGGGAGGGCAGCCAGGGAGGGAAATTGGTTTAGAGTTGGCAATTACGCCAAGCCCTGAGGGCTGTGGACATCCTGACAGCAGGGCCCTGGGGACAAGGGTCAGCAATGACTTCCCATGAGAACTATTCATAGGCAAACGCAGCTGCGATCCTCTTCGCCCGGGACGCCTTGTTAAAAAGCCCTCTGTAAAAGCGCTCTGTTCGAGCAGCTGCTGAGAAAACATCCGTTTCTGGGGTGGCTTTCCATCTCGGTGGGGATGAGTGCTGTCACAGCGGCAGGCCCCAAATGCAGAGATTAATGCGTGAAGCTTTTAATCCTGCACAGCCGCTGGTGGAAGAGCATCACGCCTGCTGTGCCCTTGCTGCATCTGGCCTCCAAACGGAGCAGATCCCCTCCCCATAGGGTGGAAGCAAGGAGGAAGGCTAGCCGTTAATAAAAGACACTCTGAAACCCATCTTCATATCCCCAGGAGGTGGGCTGAAGTGTTTTTGGAAGGCTGGCACCAGCAGCAGGCAGACAGACAGACAGACAGCAGCGCAGCTGGGAGGAGGCTGCAGGATGTTCCCAGCAATCAGCAGCTGGAGAAGGGAAGGGGTGGGCTGGGAGCTCAGCAACAACACCTGGAAAAGGAGAGGAGGGGAGAGCCAGTGTCTGATCTGCAGATGCGAGCCGGGAGCGCGTGGGCAGGGGTGTAGGAGGGCTTGGCGGTTGTGACGGGGAAGTTTTTCTCTTTGTCTGAAAGCACGGCTGTGCCTCGTCCTGCCTCGCTGCCTGCCTTTCCCAGGCCTTTGCTTTTTGAGCCTGTTTGCTGAAACTCCTGGTTCTGCTTCCCTCACCTGAAAAATGCCTTCAGCTCTGCTCAGGTCAAAAAGACTGCTACCTACCCAGCGGCTGAGGAGTGGCAGAGACCAGCCTCTGCCTGGCTCAGTCCCTTCCGAGTCCAGGGGAGTGAAGAGCCATTTCCCCTGGTTTTACAGGAGGCACAGACACGGCTCTGCTCTTTTCTGCCCACTTGCTTCAGCCCACAAGGGAATTTGTACAAAGCAGGGGCGAGTTGAAGCTGTTTTTTTCTAGGAGATCTGCAATGTTGTCCTGCAATGACATTTGCCCTAGCAAGGAATTATTCTCCCTCCATCTGAGTGTTTATGTACCAAATACCTGTTCCTCTGTCTTTGTTCTCTGGTTCCTTAATCAGAAGTGCCTAGATCTTAACTAAAACGTAGGCAAAGAGCCCCTCCGAGGAGAGAAACCTGGTTGTATGTGACTTTAGAGGGGAACTAGGAATAAACCTCAGTATTTCCAAGTCATGAGTGAGCAATGTCTCTGGGCTTCTCCATCTTCTGTAGCCAAGAGGCAGGGACCAGATCTTAGGAGAGAGGACTCCAGAGAATGAAACTTCTGGCTAAACCAGCAACAGAAATGTTTCCCAGCCGCAGCAACACACGTTGAGACATGGGTGAGGGCAGGAGACTTGCAAGAGAGGGGGAATTTCCTTTCCATGCCCCAGAGAAATCCATTCATTTGACCAGCAGGTCTTGTGAATGAGCCGAGAGCCGCTCTAGCCCCACGGCTTAGGGAGCCTCACTGCTTTTGTTTCAGTATTAAGCAGCTGGAGGGATGTCTCCACTAGAATGTGTGCAATAATAAAATCATTACTCTCCCTAATTATGCTCGCTAATGTGCACTTATGGCCAGAAGACCTATTCCAGATTACTGAATTCAGTGAATTTATTAGCAAGGAAGCAGCAGAACAGGATTAGAAATCCCAAAGGTATGGCATTACATAATGCACCACTCTCATTTATTTTGACAAGCTCGGTTTAGTTTTAATTATTTATGATAATGAACTGAAATGCCTTCTCTAGGCTGTTTTGTATAAGTAATGGAGGCTTCCTGAAGTACACCACATGCATCTGCTGTTCAACATTTCCTCAGGAGTTGGACAAGAGACAGAAGACGGGGGGAAGGGTGCGGGGACGTCACTAATTCCCAGACGCTAAAAATACCCACAGCAGTGCCGGAGAAACGTGCTGCCAGATTGTAGGATATCATTTGCTACTTGCTCCACATGCCTGGAATAATTCACTGCAGACAAATGGTGGGCTATGAAAGACCCTGCAATGGCCAAAGCCACACCATCATGTATCAGTTGTGGCTCCCACAATTTACCTAGAAGTCATGAATTTGACTCGTGATGTTTTTCTAGGTTGTTTCTTTTCACAAAGTCACTGCTTGTGCTCTCTAATGACCCATGGTCTATTGTGTCCTGTCCCTTAGGCCCTGATGAGGACCGTGTGGCACTACTGCATTGTTGCAGTGCCGCTGGTGTTCGCCTTCAGCACACTGGGCACCATCACTGACAGCATCCTCACCAAGGCCGTCCCCTCCTCTGACACTGGTAAGACTCATCAGAAAAAGATCACGCCTGTTTTTTTCTTTCTTGTTTTTGAGTCCGTCGAGTGCTTCTCAGCTCAGACCACCGCTATTGAGCACGGGGCACATTCATGGCCAATGCCCAGTTCCCCAGCAGATCTGGCTTGGCAGTTGCATGCGATGGGTGTCAGCAGAGCAGATGAAGAGGGACCAGTGGTGCTTATATAGGATGAGCTTGTACAACATCGAGCAAGCATCCCACGCCCCAGAGCATGCCACCTGCTGACATCCATAGTGGCAGGCACACAGGGGAGGCTTTCCCAAACTCTGATTTCCGTGGGAAGCCAAGCTTGCTTTAAAAAAAAAAAAAAAAAGGAAGAAGAAAAAAGCTGCCTTTCCACCAATAAGGATGACTCAGAGAGCTGCTCATTCACGCCTTTTAACTGAGGGCATTCTGGATCGCCCTTTGCCTGATGCAGTGATTGTCCCCCTCTTCATGTTTTGGCCATGCTTCAGTCAAAGAGTTACTGTATTTCTCTGTACAAGGCAGGTGAAATACAGTGGTTGATGCAGAAGTCTTTATACCTGTGTTTTTAGTTCTGTTGATGAAGAAAATATGTCTACGTTATTGTCATGGGAGCCTTGCTGAGTTTGTCCTGGGATGAAGCTGGGTTGACCTGGTTTGGCATCTTTTGCTCAAGCTCTTTCAGGATTTGCTCCAGAGCTGCATTCACCAGGTACCTGAGAGTCTCTCTGCTTTAGCTGAGACTTTCTGGGATGCCAGCCTGCACCCTTCATCTTCCCTAGCAGATGTCTGAGCAGCTACCTCTGCACAGACCCTACCGACAATGGAAGTTATAGTTTGCACAGCCCTTTAGTGAAATTTATACAGCACTTTTGAGATGCTTCTGATGAAGAGCTTTTCTAAATGTCACTTCAGTAGTTTATTTGTAGAGCTGACCACCACATCTCCTACAAATGCTGGGAGCCTGCGATTTCCAAGTGTGATACGTCTACTTGTGAGGACCACTTAGTTCCCAGGGAGGTGAGGACTGGCGGTGTCTCAGCCCCTCCGCTTAGCTGGGAAGAAAATCTGCTGTTTCATGAGTTGGAGCAGTGTTCACGCGAGGAGGGAGAGCCAGGGGGAAGGGTACCAAGTGGCTTTGGGACATACAGCCAAGCTGGAATTTATCCAGGCTCTTCTCAAAGGGGCTTTGTGAGGAAAACCGGAGCGTTTCTTGGCTTTTAAAGCCCAGAGGCAAGCTTTGGTCAGAGAGTAAAATGGGTTTAATTGCCTCACCCTGCTCCCTGCTTGCGTATGTTGTTAGGTCAGCCTGTGCCTTGGCGGGGTGGACAGTCTCCGCAGGGCAGGACAGAGGCAGCCCTCAGGGTGGTGCAGATAGTCAGGAAAGGGTTGTGGGGCATTGAGGGAGCCATGGGCTATCCGGGGCTTTCTCCTGCCCATCCATCCTGGGCTGATGCCACGCCAAGTGCTACTACAGACTGCAGAGTTACAGCTGGCTCAAAACTGGGCCTGCCGAGGAGGGATGCTGCTGGCACGGAGGATCTTGGCCCTGGGGAAAACCTTGTCTTTGCCGCTCCACCCTGGCCCTTGCCTTTCAAACCACTCTTTCTCCTTGCAACATTTCCGAGGGAAGAAGCATCTGATGGTTTTGTGCTTGTTTTGGATGC